GTTGGTGGCGGCTGTTACTGTCATGACTGTGGCCGCCACTGTTACGCCCATTGCACACACAAGAAAACTGAGACCCAGAGTGGCCAGATGAGTTGCACAGGGCTGTGCTGCCTGCTACTAGCAGAGCTGAGCTCAACCCGGTTTCTCCCCACTCCAGGGCCCGAGGTCTCTTGGTGCCTGAAGCCTCCCTTATCCTTTGTGTGTTTCCTGCCGGGAAGCCCAGCTGCCGGGGGCACTCGGCCCTTGAGGAAGCTGCGGAAGGGTCGTCAGCCCTTGCCCAGAATGACTGCCCAGGGTTAGCCGTGCCCACGTGGCGGCCAAGATGCTGCAGATTCCGCCAATCCGGCGCTGTCCCTGGTGAATCTGGTGGAGAGGGCTGTTTGTGCAAGGAAACCAGCTCTTTCCACAATGGCAACACAGCCTCCTAGAAAGGCAGACCCAGGCTTGGAGCTCACTCCCTCTCTGAGAAGTAAGCAGGTGTTGCGTGGTCTTGGGGAGGTGGCCCAGGCATCATCTCCCCGAGGAAGCCTCTGCTGGAACCTACACCGGTGGTTCTCAGCCCTGGCTGCACATTGCAATCCCCTGGTAATTAAAAACTCCCCAGCGACATCGATGGGCAGCAGAGTTGAGAACCACCGGGCTTGGCCACGCCACCTCCGCAAGCTGAATCGTGCCCACCACCTGCTGTTGTAAACGAATGTCTACACACACGACGGCCATCTGTTTACATCTCGTCTGCGGCTGCTTTCACACGACAGGGCAGGGTTGAGTAGTTGCGAGAGAGACCATATGACTCGCAAAGCCTCAAATATTTACCATACGGACCTTTACAGAAGTTCGCCAACCCCTGGACTAGACAGTTATTCGTCTCGCCAACCTCCTTAACATTCTTCCAGCCTGAGACTTAGCATGTGACCCATGATAATTTGTGTAAAACAAGCAGGAGCTCCTGGGGCAGGGGCGTCTCTGGGTCATCCCTGCGGCCCCCAGGCCCAGCACAAGGCCTGGAGCACACAGGTGCTCACTAGCCGCAGGTGTTACTTGGTATCTAGCTGTTGCACTGGGGTCTGGGCAGCAACGTTTAGGTGAGCAGGGAGGGAAGGTATCGTGCCAGGCCGGGCTGGTTCTCTCCTTAGACACCAGCTGTTTTGCTCCCTGGGCCCCACTTCCCAGGGCTGAGGCTCCCAGCAGAGGCCAAGGAGGTGCCCAGCTTGAGGCCTGGAGGAAGGCGAATCTCAAGGAACCAGGAGAATTGGGAGCCGGGGGTGGATCGAAGAATTGGCTCCAAGTTGAGGCTGTGGGAAGCCGCCCGTAACCTGGCAGGACTGGCATCTGTTGACCCAGAGGTGCTGGATGTGGCCAGGCTGGTGGTGCTCAGGATGGGCTCAGTTCCCTGGCCTGGCTGCCCATCCAATGTTTGAATCCAGTTACCACTTAATGACCGGTGATCCTCCAGTCTTGAGTGCCTCTGGTGATGGGGAACTCACCACATGCATTATTTGGAAGAGTGAAAAAATGAGTAAACACCTAAATGTCTATCAATAGAGTATTGAGGCCAGGCATGGTGGCTCACACCTGTAATCCCAGCACTTTGAGAGGCTGAGGTGGGAGGATCTCTTGAGGCCAGGAGTTCAAGACCAGCCTGAGCAACATAGCAAGACACTATCTCTACCAAAAAATTTTCAAAAATTACCTGGGTGTGGTGGTATGCACCTGTAGTCCCAGCTACTCAGGAGGCTGAGCCCAGAAGTGTGAGGATTGCAGTGAGCTACAACAATGCCAGTGCACTCTACACTGGACAACAGAGCAAGACCCTA